AAATCTGTTGACCCTACCGGCCATCCCTAGAACTTGTTATTAAAAAAAAAACCACTTTTTTTGAAATATTTTGACAAGGATTACTTTCCAACAGATCAACTGATTTTGACGTAACTGGTGGCAATCGACGAGGTATTTTAACAACAGTAATAAAATCTATTATAATAAAAATAATTAGGCTATAAATTCAAAAGTAATGTAAAAAAAAACACTTTTTTGACAATTTTTCATCATCAATTTCTCTTCAACGCATTAACCGATTTTGAAGCGGTTAGCAGCAATCGACGTCTTTTCTATGTTTAAGAGCTGATTAGATTTTGGAATTGATGGTTAGATCTAATTAAAAGTTATTCCCAAAAAATTCGCACGCACGGACGCACGCACGCACACAGGCACGCACGGACGCACGCACGCACACAGGCACGCATGGACGCACGCACGTATGCACGCACGAACGCAAGCACGCACACACACATATACATATCACACACACACACACACACACACACACACACACACACACACACACACACACACAAGAGAGAGAGAGAGAGAGAGAGAGAGAGACAGCACACAAATACACACTGACACATTGCCACACAGCCATACACACGTGCATACATACATACATAAATGCATACATACATACACACATTCATAGTGGTATATTCACACCCTCTTAGGAGTAGTCAGAATAGCTTCCTCGGACCTCAAAACATCGTGATCTGATGAAACCTCGATTTTACTTCCCGACCGACCGACCAATAACTTCCCGATTTTCGAAAGTTATTGATTTTCATAGCGGGAAGTTAACAAGTCTGTTGATTACATTCAAACAACAGTTTCAATTTTCAAATATTAGGAAGACACAAGAATACTTATGTTTGTATAAGTAGGTAAGTGTGTAAGTAACTTATGAATACGTTACGTTCGTTTTTTAATAAATAAGTAACGTAATTTTTTTCTATATCTTTTATTTCCATTAATCGGAGTAAACGCCCATGCAATCGATGCATCTTTGCCAAAACAGTGGCAGTTTATTGATGCCCTTCTTGAAGAAATCAGCTGCAGGGAAGGCAATAAATTCTTCAAAGGTATTTTGTACTGCCTCTCGGGTATTGAATTTTATTCCCGCCAAAAAGTTATCCAAATTCTGGAAATTTTTTATGTATGTAGGCACAAGGTCTGGTGAGTACGGCAGATGACGTAGAGTTTCCAACCCTAGCTCTTGTAACTTGGAGACTGTTTGTTGTGCAGTATGAGGTCGCACGTTGTCGTGCAAGAGCAGCGGGAACAAGCGATTGACCAAAGTTGGTTGAGGACGTGCGAGCTTCTCCATCTTGTGTTCAGTTCTTCACAGTACACATCTGCAGTAATGCTCCCCCTCTTTCTAGATGGATGGGTGCTGCCAGCTGCTTTGCAAACCCAAGCATACCACTGCAAGACTTCATGATACTATAAGCTCATTTTGCGTAAATCAGACCAAAAATTAATATTCAAAAACTGAAGGTAGCCGGACTAACTATGACATTGGGACATCAAACATCTCAGTCCCACCCCCCTTGACCACGGATGCTGCAAAGCACCCGAAACGTCGGGATAATAAAAATAAATTAAAGTTGAATTAAACGCGATAAAATCCGTAAATATTAGTTTTATTCAAGGGTGAAGGGTACAATACCCTTGGTGGCAAATTCAACGTACACCTGACCGACGTTTTTATTCAATTATAAAATAATTTTAAACGATTCTCTAAAATTCAATTTAGGTACGTAGCCGTGGTGTATTAAGTTATTAATGAGGTAGTCATGAATATGCATAAACCTTTTAGCATATATTCAGGTTTGAATTGATTCTTGTATTGTATGGACTAAAGGACAATCAACCCTTTAACCCTTAACCCTACTAAAGGAACAATAGATGATCGATTTTTATCAATACATCATCCATTAAAAAATGAATATGCAAAAGTAACAATTAGGAAAATCAATAATGTCTTTGATATCGGTGCAGCGTCAAGTCATCTCTCCACCATTAGATTGAACGTTAACTTCTCACTGTCAGTATTCTTTTATCAAGTGGCACACCCATTTCATTGAGGGGTTACTTCAACTGACTTTAACACCTGGTTTCTTAATTATATTGTTGCCTACGTTACTAGTTGAAATATAAAAAAAATATCTTTAACATGCAATATATCTATAATATTGGTCTAAGATTATCTTAAATATAGATATGTGTCGTACATTAATAGATCCCACCTAGGTGAAGCAGACGCAGATCGCTGGTAAAAAATAAAAAAGTAATTTCCTGCAAATCATCATTATCATCATTACAGCCCTTCACAAGTCCACTGGTTGACATAGGCCTCCTACAAGGAACGCCACAATGCGCGGTCTTCATCGACTTCCTGTATGTCTTACCAGGTCGTCACACCAATTAGTGCATATTAATATGCATAGCTCGCACTCTGTTCCAACATCCATTGCGGAACACACTGAAACACACTAGATTCGACACTTGTATTAAAAATAGTGGCTAGATAAGGACGAATCAATTATGGACGCAATAACTTTAACGGAAATCCGCCATAAGTCTGCCGCAAGGACGAAAGAAGGCCTAAATTTGGTATGAGCAAGAGGAATTTGGCGACGAACTTGTCACAAATTCACTGCTGAAGATAGGTCTCCCGCTAAATACTGTGACGGTCTTAAACAATCTAATTATATCAACCGTATGTTTTACCTAGTCTTTCGTCCTTCATTTTGTGGGGAGTCACATTGCACCGCTAACCAAGAGGCTGCCACTCGGGAAACATTGCCCATTATTTACTGATAAATTGGACGATGTCGATAATTCTGGTTCCGCTGCGGATATCTTCGATACGGATACTGTTACACAAAGCTCTTCCTCATGCGTCCAAAAGTAAAGGACCATGTCTCGGTTCCATAGATCGTCGTTAACAACACGCACTGTATACACGTTTCGAGATTCATTGGATTAGTCGAATTCGATTCGTCGGTCGAACATTTGGTCGAAATTGGACTTGCCTAGGATAATTCTATCCCTCGTGTACAAGCATTTAAAAGTAAAACTTTAGGAGACATCGAAAACATTCTGTGCGATCAGTGTTTACATGACAGCACTCATATTTAAATCATTAAACATTTCATAGATAAAAACATCTTATTCTGACGACTTTATTCGTTAGAAACCTAGCCGTTGGCAGACACTATCCTATACCTTTAAACGAGCAATATATATATATATATATATATATATATATATATATATATATATATATATATATAATCGGAATCTCGGAAACGGCTCCAATGATTTTCATAAAATTTTGTGTGCAGGGAGTTTCGGGGGCAATAAATCGATCTAGCTAGGATTTATTTTTAGAAAATGTCTTTTTGTCCGTGTTTTTAGGCAATGAAAAACTGCTACAATATCGTTAGAATAAGAAAGTAAATTTTGACAATTTATTAATGATGACAAATAGCTTAATTAATATACCAAATATTGGGCGGTCACAAAATCGTAGTATCATGGTTCGAGCCCAGACCGACCGACCGACCTTTTTTAATTTTTTTTTTCAAGTTCCTTTCTTTTTTGAGAAAATCTATTTTTTTCGAGCCCTTTTTTCAGTATTTTTTTAAAAACACGAAAATTTAACAATTGCACTCATGATTTTTTATTCAAATAATCAGTTCAGTTTTTTCTATTATGTCGCTAAGATCAAAAAAATATTATTCGTATTTCATCGGTATGTAATTTGTATCTAAATGTAATTTCCAAAACACTCGAATTAAAAAAAAAAACGAGCGAAAAATACCAAGCAAAGCTCGGTCAACCGGGTACTGTAGGTTAAACTGAGTACAGTGCTAGGTTTTAAATCAGCTTATTCGGGAGACTAGAAGTCATGTAATCGGCGTGCAGGACGGTTTGTAATGACTCTTGAACATATCATGTAGAATGTAGATGCAGTTTAGGAAAGATCTCAGCTGCAGTGCTTACGAAGGAAAAAGCGTCAGTGTCTTTTTTGATATACAAGCTATTTTGTTCCACTTCTGTCAGTTCCACGCTTGTGACTTAATACCAAGTGGAAGGCCAATCTTAAATAGCTCCTCAAAAACATTAAGTACAGATCCTCTTACTAACTTCCAAAAGCTCTGTTGGAATTCTATCCTGACCATGTATCTTACAGTTTTTAAAATGTTGGGAAGCCATCCTAATCATATTCAGATTGAAGTCCAGGACATTTTTTATAGGAAAAGGGTGACAAGCGAGCACACAGTCCACCTGATGGTATGTGGTTGCTGTGGCCCGTAGATATCTACATCTATCGTCGTTTGCGAATCAAAATGAAGGTACGTTGTCAGCCTCTAGGACTAAGATGGAATGCCTCTCTTCCAGTAAAAAGGGTCTCCGGTTCTCTACACTCACCATACGAAACAAAGCAGCATTAAGCTGTTAATTGACGCTGGTATTCTGTGAGAGCGTGGTCCTTCCCCGGTCGAGCCGACCCATTCGTGCTACAACTAGGGGGAATCCGGGAGACTTGAACCCCCTTTTACAAAAATGACTGTAAAATCTTACTGATTTCTTGTAGATATCTCAGTCTTTAACACTTGGATTGCTTAATTCAATAGGCTTCGATTGGTGATACAAATGTTATAATAACTTTTATCTACTAAGAAATACGGAACTTTTTTAAAAAGTCAGAAATGGTTCAAATCTCCCCAACCCATGGGACATTTGACCATAAGGTTGGGGAGATTTAACCATACTTTCTGTTACTGGAAAATAATTTAAATATCAAAGTTTTTGTCACTATTTTAATCAATTAACAAAACGTAAAAACAGTTTTGACATTTTATGAATGTCACTTACTCTTTATTAACTGTAATTATAAAGAAATCAATAATCAGTCTTAATTAAGACACTTATAAAAGTAACATCGTAATTAGAGATCAAAAAGTATTTTTATTGAATTAATCACATTCTGGACACATGAAGTTTTCAGAATCGTTAATAGTTAGCCCTACACATTCTTCGTGGACATACCTTTTACAAGAAATACAAAGACGCATATCCAAGAGTTTTTCAGTACCACAAATAAAGCAATACCAACGAGTATCCAACTCTGGTACTCCTTCCCCTTCCCAGTCACCGTCATTAGAGCTATCACCATAAGGAATACAATCGTCATAATTTTCTTCAGATTCACTGTCAATTGAGCGAGATAACGTGCGAGAACGTTTCTGTTGTTTATTTATTTTCCTTTTATTGGTTTTTGCTGTTTGTCTTGTATCTTTGTTTCTTTTTATTTTATTTTTCCCTTGCTTTAGTTTTTCTTTCATTTTCTTAAAATCTGCTTTAAAATCATCTTCACAATCTGTGTCATTGTTCTTTTCTTGTAAAACTTGCCTCTTTGCTTTTTTGTGTCTACCTTCTTTCCTCTTTTAATATTCTTCTTAGCTTTAGTTTTTGAGGACTTGTCACCTTTGGCCTTAGTTGTTGTTTTCTTAAGAATTTCATATGAATCATCATCTGTAATTTTTTTCAGGAGTTTTTGTTAGAATTTTTGTTTTTCCAGGTTATCGTCCACGCCGTGTTGTCTTTCGGGGTGCAGCTTTTGGATATGGCCTTATTATTTCTGGTGTAATAGTTACTTTTTGAGTAATATGGTCCGGAGTTTGCGGAATATCCAGCTTTTGTGTCAGAGTAGGTGAATTCGGAGGATAATAATAATTTATATCAGTCTCTTGGCACTGATGAAAAGAAACTTCTAAATTACAATTTAATTTAGCCATGAGAGTGTCATTCAATTTAGTGAGGCAACAATTCACCAGGCTCTCAGGATAAACTTTAGAACAGTTGAGTGAATTTGGTTCAGAGTCTGATGGTGCATGTGAAAAGCTTTTTAAGACAGACAGGCTTTGTCAGAGGTTTGCGGACGTTTCTTAGCTGGAGGGTTTAGTTGGTTATTTGTTAGAGAAATAGTCACTGAATCCAGAAGCGAAACAATTTAAATCAAGCACGGGACTAGATGGGGGTCCTGAACTTCATCATTAGGGATCTGTTGAGATGTTGACGGAATTTTCTGATCAACGTCGTTGAAGCTCTGCGGAAAATCTGGTGGATCTTGCTGAGCGCTTGAAAAGACAAGCTGAGCTTTTTGCTTGAGCATTTTTGAGACGAACTACTGGGAAGTTCATAATTTTCATTGGATATATCCCTATCTGTTACAGCAGAACACATGAAATCTTCATCACTGAATAGATTATCATTATAAGGATGTATTCCCGATTTTTTGAATCCGCTTAAAATGTTGGCTTGGCTGAATGCTTGCGACATAATCGTTTTGATGAATCCATGAATTTGGTATATCGTTACTGTCCTTCCAGGATTTGAAAGCATCCAGTTGCTCAACGCAGTATTATATCTCGATTTGAATGACGAATATATAGCGATATCCAAAGGTTGCAACTTATTGCTGCAATGGGGCGGAAGTATAAGCAATGTGATGCCGTTGGATTTTGCATAACTTATCACTTCGATGCTCACATGGCTTTCGTGGTTATCAAGAATTAATAACACGGGATTATCTTTCGATGCATGGGAGTGCTTTTTGAAATGTTCCATGAATTTTAGGAAGCTCTTGGCAGTCATCCAACCCGTAATGTATGAATCTCCATCAGACCCTTCAGGTCCCCCATTAACAAAGTCAGGTCGGTATTTAACACGCGGAAATATGAAAAAAGGAGGCATGGCATTTCCAATGGTGTTTACAGCGAAGCAGACTGTAACTAGAGTACCTCTTTCAGCAGAGGTGGCATGTCCTACTTGCTTGGCTTTTTTACTTGCCAAAACTTTGGGGCATTGTTGGACAGTAGTACAGTTTCATCACAATTATATATATTTTGTGGCTCAAAATTATACTTTTCTCGCACTTGCTTCAAGTTTTCGTAAAAGTCTGTTACATTTTTTTGTTGAAACTTGTAGCTCGCGACAAACTGGTGGCTTCAGGCGTTCTTAAGGTTTCTTCAGGTTACTAGCTAAGAAACCTCGGAACCAATTTTTCCAGCAAAATTGTTATTTGTCCAACTTTGAGGTATTTTTTTATTATTTGCTAGATCATAATCAAAGGCTAATTGCATGGCTTGTTTTCTCGTCAGTCCAAAGTGCATTTTACTGCATGCCAGAAGGTAGTTTACTAATTGCTTTTCTTCCGCTGTTGGTCTTCAAATATGATAGTCAACAGCCACTTCCAACTTTATTATAGTTTTTTAACAAATAAAGAATTGCGCTGACTCTGAATTATCGGAGCTGTAATTTTTGTCTCACTGCATTGACATGCAATTCTACTTCGCCAACCACACGCACATTTTAGATGAAATTGCAACATAGCACCAGAAACAACTTTGACGAATTGTTAATTGGGAATACAAGGTGAGCACTTACAAACATTGAGACTTGAGAGACATGATCTCAGCATGAAGCAAACGGAATGTTGAATTCATTTTATTTAAGGGGATTACATCGCTTAAATCCCAAAAGCACCCTATGTTTAAAGAAGTTTGTATGTGAATCTCTTTGTGCCTGCGCCTCATAAAAATATATGTTTAACATAAGGTCAACAAATACATTGTATTATTTAAAATTTTAATAAAAATGTCCAAATTTTGGAAAACAGTCGAAGTAAATAGATTAATTGAAAATTTTCTCAATAATAGCTAAATAGTTAGGCATGTATAATATACCAAAAAAAAAAAACCGCAATGACGCATTTAACAATGGGTGCGTTTGCCAGAAAAAAGCGCTAGCAAGCGCTTGTAAGCAAAATGGCGAAACTAAACAGTTTTCGGTCAGGACACGTTTGCTGACTTCAGTAGCGCTGACACAATCCGCCATTTTGCTTATTTAATTTGTTTGTTTTAAAGTAGAGTTTATAAGCTGTTTTGTGCAATATTAGTTTTAAGTAATATAATGACATGAATAAACATACACATGTTATTAAAAATTCATGATTGGTAAGTTTTTAATATGAATACTTTACAAACATATATTTAAAATAGGTTAGGTTCCCCGGTTACAACTAACTTCGAGTCCTAGAGGAAAATAGCTACTTACGATTTGACAGCGCTTACCGCTTACGATCGCCATTTTACTTACAAGCCCTTGCTAGCGCTTTTTTCTGCCAAACGCACCCAATAAGTATTGTTTATTTCTTTTTATTTCATTTACCATTTTTGAATAATAAAGTAATACATAAAGTTACACTAGAACCAGCCCCGCAGACCTGTGACGGATACTCCCGACGCAAATACATCAATGTCTCGACGACTCTAAGTCTAATCCACAAATCCTCAAGGTCATTGGGTAATGTAATACCCTTAAGCAACGATTCGGTGACAGTAGGATATGAATTTACAGATTTCGTCAAAAATGAAACTTCTTGATCATCCATCCATTCCATCTACAAAAATCTACTGTTAAACATAGGCCTCCCCCATAGATTGCCACATGGGGAGATTTCGCTATAGTTACCACGCTAAGCAAACGAATTGGCAAACACAGTATTTTTATTACTTTGAGTTAATATCAGGAAGATGCTGCTGGCCATCACCTGTTTCATTTTCTCTCGGTCGCCTCTTACGACACCCTCGGGACGATATTCGATAGTGGATATTTTTATACCGACACTACACGGTTAACTTCTTGATCAATTTGAGTGAAATTATTGTACCATCCATCCATATATCTCACCATACCACCGTACCACATGTCTTCTCATACTTGTAAATTTTGGCTACGAACTTATTGACAGGCGCTATAAAAATAGTTTTTATTACTTTCGTTTTATATATTAAGTAGGTAAGTTATTACTTTCATATTTTTATTACTAATTCAATCTTTCAAGATATATGAAAGTAATAACTAATAAAGTGAACCTTATTTTTTTTTCTATCATTTGGGTGTGCCGCACTCAGTTTTGTAAGACTAAAAAAGGTCTAAGGTTAAAGTTTTTTAATCAAAATAAAATCTTTTCGAAGAACTCTCCACCACCACCTATACTGACCAACCAATATTTGAAATACTTTCGAACGCTGATAGCGAATCTTCCGGCGATAAAAACTGTATCCCTTTCAATGGATTTTTATTTTACGGAAAAAAGAAGTCACACGACATAACACAATATTTCAATTTACATCGTAAAAATTGTGGAAGGAAATTGAAATTGAAACATTTGCAATTATAGAGCATATAATTATATTTATGCCGTGAGTATTTTCTAACAACTTGCGTCAGGCTTAACCTTTCGCCAGGCCACCACTAAGTGATAAGGCCACCAATTTTGATCATTCATCTTGTAAAACCCGTTTACGCGGAAAATCCATGCTGCAACTATATTACATATACAGTATAGGTATAGTTGTAACACGAATGGGTCGGCTCGACCGGGGAATGACCACGCTCTCACAGCATACCAGCGTGAAATAATAGCTAGTTACATATGCCTACCGACACCTTGCAAGCAAGCAGGAAGTCACCTACAATATAACATCGCAGGCCAAGCAAATAACAGCGCGTGACTGAAGAATAATCAACACAGTGCCATCAGGAAGCCACCTACCGCCTGCTAAGCAAAAAACCAGCACGTTTCAACATAGTATATAAACCTAGGTTTAATTGCTAAGATAGCCCAGTAGTAATTAAGTTAGTTTGTAAGTTAACTAGTCTTGTATTTTTGTGTACTCACATAGTCATAGTAGTTAACTTATAAGTTAGAAAATAAAGTAACATAGTCTTCGTCTCCTTCCACTTCAACTCTCCCTAGCTGCCGCAAACTTAAGTAGCTTAACGCTGCTATATTTCGTTTGGTGAGTATAGAGAAGCGGATACCCTTTTTACTGGAAACGAGGCATTCCATCTTAGTCCTCACGGGTAAAACGCATCTGCATTTTGATTCGTAATCGAGGATAGATGTAGATGTCTACGGGCCACAGCAACCACTTACCATCAAGTGGACTGTGTCCTCGTTTGCCACCCTTATACTATCTCCCCACCAGTTAGACAATCACACTTCAGATTTGTTCACTGGAAAGTTTTGAGTCATACTACAAAAAAATTCCAAGTCATCACCTATTTATTGATGTTAATCTAGGGTTCACCATTATAACCTATCAAAAGAACCTCCCCTTATAGGAGGTAGTAGTAATAGACCAGACATCAGCAACAAAATGGTCATCTATTACTTCTGTCCTATAGAATATATTTCGAATTTATGTCACTTAGTCTTAGTGACATCGTCAAAAGGTCAAGATGCCAAGTGCAAAGGTCAAGTTTACTAAATTAAAAAAAAAAACATTTTTTAAAGAAAATATGCCCGGTTGTGAATTAAGGTATTGTAAGTCCCGATATGGATCAAAAACTTAATGTGATTTCGGTTTATTATTGCAAGTATAATGTATATACCCAATAATTTTTAAATTTTATTATTTCTGGTAGATTGTTCTGGAACAATTACCATAATTGTAATAAGCGCCCTCTATTATCCATTAACGTCTCCATTTATTAACCAAATGAGTTAGTGATTGACAATGTTCAGTATCGATTAAAATAGTATATGGGATGCAGATTTAATATAATCTAAAATCTACGAGCACTTAACCCTATAGAGAAGTAATACATGTGAATTTAAAAGAAAACAATTTTGTCAATTAGTTGCGGTGCGGGGGGAGTTGTGATCGCTGCGAAGTACTCCGAACTATTCCGAAGAGATTCGGAACACGATCGCTAGGGCGTGCATTGTAATGAATTTATGCTTTCAATCGATATTGATAAATTTTTTCGCTTTTTAATACATACTTTCAGTATCAGTAACTAGCTTTTGACTGTGACTTCAATTTTCCTGTGCAACTACGAAATGCAATTTTAAATGTACTAACTTTTCAAGCACTGTACTTAGGCAAAATATAAATGCCAACTTCGAAAACAATTCAAGATTAAATATAGAGTTTAAAATAAACTTTTAGTGATTTGTTGACCTACTTTAACATAAAAAATTAAAACATTTAATACGTGGTAGATCCAAGCTGCAGTTATATTAGTAGTATAGTTGTACCATGAATGGGTCGGCTCGACCGGGGAAGGACCACCCTCTCACAGAATATCAGCATAAAATAGTAGCTTTATGCTGTGTTTCGTATGGTGAGTGTAGAGAACCGGCGACCCTTTTTACTGGAAACGAGGCATTCCATTCCCCATGGGTGACAACAAATCTGCATTTAGATTCGTAATCGAGGATAGATGTAGATGTCTATGGGCCATAGTAACCACTTACCATCATATGTACTGTGTGCTCGTTTGTCACCCTATCCTATAAAAAAAGGCCCCGTAGGAGATACGCAAGATAGTTCGGCTCAAGGTCGAGGCACTACGAGGCAGTACGGAGAGATTGAAAAGAGAATAAAAAAGATTTTCATGTTTATTTATTATATTTATTTTATTAAGTGTTATTATTGATTTTTAAAATGAATTAATTTTGTATATATTCTCCTAACTGCACATTTTCCTTCCAATTTTTGATTTTTAAGTATAAATGTCATTCTTGTGTCAATATATTTCTTCATTACACTTTTCGTTAAATCAATAATATGATTGGTTTCTTCGGCGTAAAATTGATGATGTGTATACTCCGGGAATAATTGTTCTTCTGTAAAGCTGCTAAGAGCTTTATAGGTCGACAGTTCAGCGGTGATTTTTCCTTTAGTCACTATTAATAAAATCTTTCTTGATTACGGACTCGCAACGCCGACATATTTTAACGACCATTTGTGAGGGATAAATTAACCCTCCATTATCTTTGTAGAATATGATACTCTTTTTATTTTATTTTAATGACACTAAATCCTTTATACAGGTATTGCATCTGAGGCAAAAACAGCGTAGGTACTGCACTTCTCATTAGTGGCCACTTCTTGTTTGTCATCAAAAAACAATCCTCAGTAAAATGTTTTGAGCACATGACGCTATATTTTGATGGAAACCAATTTTCTCTTTTTGTAATGTTAATCCATTTGTTTTTCATATTACCATCTTTTGGAAACCTATAGGGAAAAAATCACACAGTTTAAATAAAATATCATTGTTATCGTACTTATCCAAAGCTCATACACGAAAACAATAATTATAATTAATATTATAAAGTATTACTAAGAGTAGTAAATAATATTCGACTACTCTTAGTAATACTTTAATCCAAAACAACGATATCTAAATACAATAATCATTTTGTGGATAATTATCGACAATACAAAATAAATATACCGCACTGCACTAGTCATTAGCGTCACGAGGCTAATTATGATAAGGAGAGACAGACAGTAAAAGCAAAAAGGACGGGGAGTGACGCGTGGCGGAACCGACCAGTTTAACTTGACCCTCGTTGCGTAATAAAAATGTTGAAAATATTTTGGTAAAATAAAAAAATGTACTTACCGATGAAAAGTAATATTGTTTGTTGTTACATTATATGTTTTACTGTTGTTTCCGCACCATTTAACGGCGCAACAAGACATGATGCCGTAAATTGATTTTAATTTATATTTTCAATGTAAGCCGTCTCTTCGGTTCTAGATGTTGGTCGCACCTGCCGGGAAACAAAAGTGTTCCGAAATATATCAGTGACTAGTCACTGACGAGTTGACAGGTTCGGGTCGCCTTGTATTACATCTCTATAGGGCTAAGTGCTCGTAGTCTAAAATATTAACAGTAGATACTATACCCATACCAATAAAGAATAAATAAATTACGTAATGTTTTCCTAATAAATATTCAGTAGTTTTGCTATGTTTAGCCAGAGGGCGTCACACACACGCGAGCTGATAGTGTGTGTATGAAAATGTTCTCAATGTCCGCTCTATAGTACATGTATTTAAATCTCTTTGTCTTACGACAACCAGAGTATTATATGGATAGTGAATTCTCCTACGATGCCACTACACATCGATCGGAAAAGTATTTTTTAAATACTGGAAATATACTAAATGAAAACTAAATGAGTAATGTAAATATATTTTAGTTTATTTATTAAAGTTGCAAAAAATCTGCAAAATGTTCAATTCAGCACCATTCGGACTTACAAATTTATAAAAAAAAAATAAGCAAATATATTTTAAAACAAAAACACAAATTATAAGATTATGTTAAAGATAAGTCTTAAAGTTTTGAGATCCAATCTTGCAAAGCCTTGACGTCGGTCGGATTGTCATCATTGCCAGTGCTGGCAGAGCATTCAATCACATCAACCCGACAGCTAAGGTGAGAGAACTCGAAATCTTTTCCAAGTTTGCCCAGATATGTGGAATTGTTTGACTGAGATGGATCCACTGATTGCAACTGGCTGGATTTCGTCACCCGTACCAAATTACTAGAAAAATAAAGTGAATATGCTTATTAATTAAAAACAATGAGCACCAGCTTAACTAAAACTTTCTAATTTTAATTTTTAATTAACTTTTTAATTACAGTGCCAATGACGAAAAATTATAACTTGCCAAAAACTGAATTAACATATAACATGTAAATACCGAAAACAGTGTTAGCTTATATGTTGTAATTTCTAGCCCCTTTAATCTGTACTGTAGATATAGTGTCTGTCTAAAAGATATATGGTCTTTTATATGGACTTTTATAGAAAAAAATAAATAATACCGAGTAAATACTTACAGTTCTTTCTCAAGAAGGCTCTTAATAACCTGACTTCCTTTAGCCATGGGTTGATCTTGCTTATTGCATAAGATGAGGAGTGGCGGACAGTTTCTCTGGACTACAGGGTCCAATAAAATTGTGTATAAATACCTGGAACAAGTTCATGCAATAAACAAATCTTTGCTAAATTATAACACATCACAATTCAACTACTGAACATAGATCTAATACAAAAAACTGCCCAAAGTAAGAATTTTTTAAGTACCTTTGTTAAGTACTTAAGTTATACTTTGGATATCTTTGCGAAATTTATCATACAGGATAACTACTAGCATAGACTTCTCCATGGCTTGTTAAACTAAGATAAGCTTTCTCATATGACATGCAGCAAAGTACCAGGCTATGGTTTCATGGACCGTCACTGGCAACCCACAGTAATTGTTAACTGTGTTATATGATTTTAAGGAACATTGGATAATGAATATTCTCAAATACTGTCCAACCAAATTGGATTTGTAGATTGACCTCCTGGTCAAAATTAGATTTATCTAGTCGTAAAAATAGTCCAAATCCATTCGATTTTCTAATAATCCCGTATATTAATATGTACCACTCAAACTCCTTTTAACTTTGAATAAAACTAAATTTACGGATTTTATCGCGTTTATTTAACTACTTTTACTTATTTTTAATTCCCGACGTTTCGGGTGCTTTACAGCAACCATGGTCACGGGGGGGGACTGAGATGTTTGACGTCCCAATGTCATAGTTAGTCCGGCTACCTTCAGTTTTTGAATATTAATTTTTGGTCCGATTTACGCAAAACGAGCTTATAGTATCATGAAGTCTTGCAGTGGTATGCTTAGGTTTGGGTTTAATTTTGTTAATTATAGGATCCCAAGCAGGTGGCAGCACCCATCCATCTTCGCTATTGAAATTTGGATGTTTTTTAATTTCAATAGCCTCGCGTATCATCCTTGGTAAGAATCGGTGTTCTTTTGCGAGAATTTGTGGTTTATCAAAACGAATGTAATGGTGGGGACGATCTTGAAGATGTTCGCAGACTGCAGACTTCCCGGAGCGTCGGTGCTTCACGTCAGCTATATGTTCTTTCACGCGGGTTTTTCCTTTTAACTTGTGCGTGGCTCTAACGTCGATTTGTACTCGTGCACAAAGGTGCACATGGTGTTTTTTGTATAATAAGGGTGATTAACGAGCAAACAGTCCACCTGAAGTTAAGTTCTGAGATGGAATGCCTCATCCAATAAAAATGACCATTAATCTGCTATTTCACACTGGTATTCTGTGAGAGCATGGTCCTACCCCGGTCGAGCCAAACCATTTGTGCTACTTACTACTATATACTACTTGTTTTTAAATATTTTCCATTAATACTTACTCTGCAACATCTCTTATTTCTTTTTGAATGGTGACAGAGTCCACAACATATATAATAGCTTTAGCACTATTTTTGTACTGATCAAAGAACTTATTTCTTAATCTCTCTTGACCAGGGAGATCTACAATCTTCAATGATTTCTGAAATTAAAGTCAATAATTGTGCATAAATACAAACTTTTGGTCTGGATTGTTACTTTGTATTTACTTCATATCCAAAGTTCACTGCTGAACATAGGCCTCCCCTATACATTGATTCATAGACGGGATATTTGCCATAGTTGCCACCCTTGGCAGGCAAGATTGCAACTGTAGTTTTTTATTTGGCTGTTATTAAGCAAAGGCTGCTGCCCATATCCTGTTTTGTTTCCCTCTGTCGCCTTTTACGACACTCACGGGTCGATATGGGCTAGAGGAAATTCTTACACTATATCAATACATAGTGTGGTATACGTTTATTTAATAGTGCATAAATGCCTTCCTCCAAACTTATCACAATGTCACTGAGCTTTGGTTTGGGTTACTGTAAAGTACCTGAAATATGGGGAATATATGCTCATTATTTTTGATTATGTATAGATAATACAGGGAAACCTACAATAAGGCTAATCGGATTTGATGTAAAATTATTTTGTTTTAAGCCGTTAGTTTTCTAAATTAATAAATTTAAACGCAGTAAAATCCATCCTTTTATGAATTGTTTCATTCAAAACATTCACAGACACAAGCATAATTATAAATTTCAACTTTAACACTGACACTGAGCATGTATTGGTCGTGCAGTTGTTTAAAAAACTGGCTACATATAAAGTCAAGGCAGAAACTAATGCAAATTAATTACTCACAGTCACGCAGAAATAGTAAAATTAAGACAGAAATTCTACTGCTGCAAGCCTCACGAAAATTGTTAAAATCCATTTAAAGAATATGTGATAAACAATTTCTTGGTGAAAAAACTCTTAAACGTTTAGTGTATAATGAGACTAATATTAGACAGGAAAATAATATGAATATCCAACAATAATACCTAATAAACATGACAAGAACCAGCCGATTGAATATATAGGCTTTCAGAAAAACTTTAGTACAAATAACTGCATACAAGAAAGATGTGATCCAAAAGTAATGAAAATTGGTTATTTCAAGTGTAACTACCCACTAGATCAGCATAAAAATCATATAAATAGGCTGCGATTCCTGGAAGGTACATTCATTTGAATACGAATCATTAAAGAGATAACATCAAAATGGATAAAACAAAATTAAAGCTGTCATCGAGTACCTGTGTTTAAATAAAAATGTCTACCAGACATACACAGCAACTTAGTGGAAACATTAGGGGACTCTGCTCCTCCATATTCCACATTTGTATACTGGGCCAAGGAGTTTAGCTGGAGGATGAACATCGCGAAGAACGCCCATCCACATCCCTCACGGAGATAACGTGAAAAAGTCGAAGATGTCGTATTAGCAGAGCAGAGAGTGACCATCAGGTATATAACTGATGCCACATGGATCTTATATGGCAGTGTTCAAAGAATCCTTGTGAACAAATTGCATATGAAAAAAGTCTGTACGTTGGGTACTGAGAATATTATCCGACGAGCAAAAGAAAAAACTAGTTGACATTTCGACAGGTCCCAAGCAGATCATGAAATTTTTTATCATGTTTCGTGGCTCTGGACGAGGCCTGGATCGACCATTGTGATCCTGAAACCAAATAATAATCAATAGATTGGAAATTCAAAGTTTGGCGTAAAACGTTATGGCGTCCGTTTTTTGGAACGCTGAATCATAATGGTGGAATATTTGGAAAAGGGGTACGAAATTCTCCTTAGGATGGATACTTGGAAACGCGTGTTCGTTTATGGACGGGGTGGATAATCGGAATTCACTTTTTGATTGTTGTTCCGCCTTCCCACCCCAAATTCAGATCAACAGAAAATATATTCATACTTTAACATATTATTGATTAATTTTTAATAACCACAAACTTAAACAAGAAACATATTACATATTGTGTTTAAACCAAATTAAACTTCCTTGTTTTAAATAATAATAAGTAATTTATAAATTCTACAATATGTCCAAGAAATGACCAACACTAATTTAATTATTGAGTAGAAGTAATTGTATATCCTGTATAAATTCGTCTCTCATTTTAAAATTTGTAAGACATTTTAAAATTTGTTAAGTACGGAACTATTTCCAATACTGTGTTTATATAATAAACTATAAATTTATTTAATTTCAATACCTACTTCAATAAAATATAATTGAAATTAATTGCAGTAAACATTTCTTGCATCTCAAGATATTTCCAAAATGACTGGACGTAAACTGTCGCACATGTAATTGAAAAATTAAAAGTATTTCAGTTTTGACCTTTAAACAAGTATATATGTAACTAGACTTTGTTCTGCTTTTTTCGACGACCCTTTACCATGTCCTATTAAAAATCCTTAAATTCGCAAACAAAATTTTGGGTCAATTCTCAAGTTGGACCAAACTGCACATGGTGTGCACATTTGATTATAATCGGTTGAGTAGTTTAGGAGTCCATCGCAGATAAACAATGTGACACGTAATTTATATATACTAAGATTTTATAAATATGCTAATGTCTACTAAGTAATCTTGGCTCAGTTCTAAAATTTTTTTATAAATGGCTGTAAACAGTCGAGGGGTAAAATTGGAAGAAAAATAATATACGGATTCCAGTTATCCACCCCGTCTGGGGTAAACGAACACGCGATTCCGAGTATCCACTCCAGTTAGTAGATAAACGAACCCATGAAATCACACAAAATATATACAAAAGGATTGTTTGTATAGGTTAAAAGCGAGTGAAAATTTATAGGACGAGGGATGGAAGGAGTGAAATCATCAGAGTGAAAAAAAAATTTTTAGGACAGATAAAAAATATGATCGGGGTCCTAGCTAAATTTACTTGTTCGTGGCCAATTCTAAGCCTACAAATAATTGAAGTTGCAAGTTTGTTGGCTATATTAAATTCGAAAAACCATGGCTTTGGAGGGATGGAACATTGTATAGCGGCATAGTGTTTGTCTTTTACATTTTGAGTCATTTTCCATAACCTATTCCAATTACTATTTAACTTCTGCTTTGCAAGTAACACTGTGTCCGAAGAGTAAATTATATGGTAAAGCAATTTCAATTAAGTTTTTAGCGATCAGATCAGCTGTTTCATCGCCATTTATGCCATTATGGCCTGGAATCCACTCTAAAGAAACCTGAATGCCCTTGAGATGACAAGTATACAATGTGTGTTTAAGATCAAGGGCATCTTATATTTACTATGGAAATGGTTTGACAAAACAAAACAATCAACTTTTGGAGTCAGTAAGAATTACTGCCTTATTTAAGTTATGTGCATGTTTATCAGAGCTAAATGAATTGCTGTGGCCTCCCTCATCAGTAAAAGTGGAAGAATAGAAGGACATATAAAATTAAGATTTTTTTTTGTATCTAGGAATCCAAACTGCTGTTCCAGTAGAACTTTCATCTGACTTTTTGGCTACTTAGTTTACTATTTGCTATAGGGGAATCTTTCTCAATGGCAAGATCAAAGTGGATATTTGGTTGGTAAATAATTATAATGTTGTAATGTTATCAAACTGTTGGATAAGCAGGGAAATTCTTTATGAGTCCAGTAATAATTTGATAAAATATATTCCAAAAGAAGGTGCAATTTAGAAATAAGAGGATGGGAAGAGAGTCGGTAGATCTTAAAAAGGAATTGGTCCGAAAAATATTGTCTTCTTAGATAAAGAGGGGGGTGACTTGGAGAGCATTTATCGAGGAAAATTTCATTGCCCTGATGATTATACAAAGGCATTTGGATTGAATTTTGTCTAGGATCTTTAGAGAAGTCTTGTTACATAGTTCTAAGACAAAAACCCATAATCCCAATGACTATGTTCACTAGTAAAGTCTTCTAGCCAATAATATTGATCATTAGAAGTTGCATTTTCAGAGGCCAAAACTGAACATCGGATTTTTTTTATTTTGTTGCAGACTAATGATAGAATAGTCCTAGATGAGAGTGACTCACAGAATTTAAGCCATCCAGCCTTTTTTATCCAGATAGTAATTTTAATATTTCAGCAGCAACTTTTTTTATAAAAAAATATAGTTTTCAAAATTCATAGGGTATATAGGGAATATCTTAATTCAACCTCCTTTCTCTTCTTACATGCTACACAACAATCTTGATCCCACCAGGGGGGTGAAGGAGCAATATTTTTATAAGTTGTTTTGATGTGAATTGTCTTATTGGCAGCAGATAAAATAGAATTTTTAAAAGTAGAGTACACCTGAAGAATATTCTCTTTATGAACAGGAGGAAGGGCTGAAAGTTCTTCCTCTAGCACTGTGGAATACAGATGCCAATTTGCTTTAGATGTGTCATATTTTAATCTGGGTTTAAATGGGTGATTGACTGTATGGGAGCTAGGGAAATTGATAACGATAGGGAAATGATCGCTGCCATGGGACAAGGGTTATATTCTTCAAGGAAGAAGGGAAAACAGGGCAGGGAAATAGAGTGACAGATTTACTGCACTTTTAGGGTTTTGGAGAGAGGATACTACTATGTGTTGGTGACAATCATTTAAAAGACAAAGATCTAAATAATCAATGATACTGCTTGAACACCTGATTTAGCTCCCAGTGACTATTTTTTTTTGACTATCTATTTCTTTGGCTCAAGGAACACCTTCGAGTCAAGAAATTTGCAGACAATAGCAAAGTTATGGACGCTGTTGAGACTTTCTTGGAGGGTCAAGATTTCTATTTTTAAGGCAATCAAAAAAGATGGACTAAGTCATTGACCTTTTAAAAGACTACGTAGATAAATTGTTTTTAAAAGTAAGCGGACATATTTGACAATGGTAACTTGACAATGACAATTCTCAAGTACACAAGTTTGTGTGTATATAGCAAAATAACATATCCCAAAGATGAGATGACAAAGGATTTTTTTTTTAAAGAATATTAATAATGCTATATACATTACTGATATTCTCCTTAACCACTCATGGTAAGCTTAAATTGCTTGTGTTAGGAGTGGTTCACGCCAGTAGTCGAATGGCGGATTCGAACCCACGACCTTTTAGAGTTCGCAGTCCGCGCCCTGCCATTAGGCTACTGTCGCTTTTTTGTATTTGCTGTCAATTTTTTTTTAATTGAAAAAAGGATAGCATTTGTATAGAGAAAATACTAGCATTTGAGAGAAATTATGAAAAGCAAAAGTTTTCAAAAAAATTATGAAAAAAAAGCATTCTAGCTTGCATACCACATAGTAGTTATACTTTATCCAAGTATAACACTCACAGAACACAAACTTATAAAAAGACAAATTGCTATGGAAATCTTCACTCTAAATCAAATCCCTTCCCTACCCTATTTATTAAAAAAGCATTATACAATTGTCACAAAAAAGGGCTAAGGTTTCCATTGATGTCCGTCGAGTTGGGGGTTGATATTTTTTTACAGAAAGGTTTATTTCTGTAAAATGTTTATTGTAAGCACACACGCAAAATTTCAATATGCGGAAACGCGTACTTTATGAGAAAAAAATTATTGAAAATCAATTATTTTTGTAATATTTACGTCAATCCCTACTACAGATTATATCGAATTCTCGCCATTGAATGTTCGTTTTACGTATGGTTAAGTTGTCATATGTTTGGTAACATTTAATTTTACATTAATTTACGTAAATATTTATATTTTGTACTCATTTAAATAGTTTTCATTCATACACATATATTTTACAGTTTATATTTAATTTAAGAATTATTATCATTACGAGCTATTAAAATTAAAATGACGAAACATAAAATTGATAATTTCTAAGAATTAATTAAAGCAGTATGTGTATAAAATTGTATAAAACGTGTATAAAACAGTACCCACCTATTAGGGCAGATAACAAATAAAATAGATTAGGTTCAACTTATGTCAAGGAACCAAATTAATTGACCCCGACTCCACGTGGTACGAGTCTGTCCTACCCCTAGTGTTTTTATAGTGCCAGAGGCGCGTAGGGAGAGCAGCCTCCGCTGTAACAAATCGTAGGCATCGGACGAGCCGGAGCGGCTGGGTCTGGTCGCCGAAGGCGACCAACAAGCCGAAGCTGCGGAGGCGAGGCTGGATGCTTGCAATTTGTTACGTAAAGGCGTAGAGGCTGCTTTTCCCGCAGCGCCGGAGACGTTGCAGTCTCAAAATAGATACAGAAATCCCTCTGAATGAGTCCCCCTATTTATTTGGTGAAGGGAGTTACCCCTTTCTTGGGGGGTACCCCCTTCTCTCCCAAGAGGTCTCCATGGGTTTTTACACTTAATATTTATCCATAAAATTAGGAAAATTTCCTCAGAATTAAAAATTAAAAACTCGAAAAGGCTACTTTTCTGCAACTTTTCCTTTTAAGTGGGAGTAGTACACCTACCCTCGTCCTACCCCCTTCAATTCGACGGACGTCAATGTAAAGTCGTACCAACAAATTTACTATGTCAACAGTCTGCTGTCTTCACCTCGGACATTCTCGCACACTGGTACACCTAGCCAAATTAACAACAAGGGCTAATTCTTTATGTGAACATGGTCCTGATGAAGATTCCACCGACCTCATACTTTTTGAATGTCTGTGATTCAAGTTCTCCTTGTATGATATCCGTCCCCAAAACATCTCATTTCCTACTAATTCTACCTGACTGCTATCTCTCATGTTCTTCTTATTTGTTCATATTTTATGTGATTTTATCTATACAAATAATATTAAGTAGTAACATTACTAATCATACTAATCATTATGATTGCACGTTGGTGGCAGAATTATAAATGTTTGTTCTTTTATTGTAAACTAGAAGCCAATCACAAGTAAATTAAAAATTATAAAAACCAAGATTTTATTTACTTTGTTCTCACTATCATGACTGTATTGATATTGGCAGAATTCTATTAAGAGAAGCCATAAAGTAAAGAAGAAAAAATAGTAAGTTGGGACTTGCAAGTGAAGTTAAGGGACAATATTCCAAACACCAACATTAGTGTAGTTAAAGTAGTGTACGTAGTATAGATATTTTAAGACAAAGGATTCCAAATGCAACCTGGACACAATAGCTTTATATAATTTTCAAGAAAAAGTTTTAAAAGTTCTGTAACATGTTAATTGGAAATAAGTTAATCAGAAACAGTTATATGGCGTTTAACACATGGGTTTTTAGATTTGAAACACTAGAGCTGCTAACCATTTCGCCTCTATGAGGCAAGCTATACAGGAGGCTTACATTCAGCAATAAACTTTCGATAGGCTATCATGAATGAATTGATAAATGGCTTGTGTTAATATAAGTGATTATCATGTAACTATACTGCATAAACTAGTAGATTAATAGATAATATCTAAAGGCATAAAATCCACTCTTTTTAATAGAGCAAGAGGAACTTTAGATTACTGCTGATCACTCAAGCAAGTGCACCAAGACTGTGGCTGGTGATGAGCTAAACTAATCCATAAAGAAAAAGAAATAAAAATGAGGATAAAAACTTTTTTATGATGCCGACACTCTGGTAAAAAGACAAATTTACAAAAAAAAAGCAAACTTACATTCGAAGTGAAGTAATCCTCTACATTTTCTCTCATTGATGTAAATGTTTGTCTGTACTGTGAATATGCCAGCCTCACAAACAATAAGGTCTTACCAGAATCAGAAAGACCAGTAAACAGGATTGATCTTCGCAAGTGGCGTCGCCGTGAAAAACACCACCAGAATACTGCAAAAAATCCGAAAGTAACACATATACTACATTTACACATATTACTACATTTTCTTACTTATTTATACATTATATTTTCATTAATTCAATTAGCAATAATTAGTCCGCAAATTGAGAAAGGCCTATATTATTCGTATTGGTAATGATATTGAGGATGATGATGTTTATAACTCATAACAAATAGAATCATCATAAAATTAAATAAATGTTATGACAAAAATTGATACAATCACAAAAAACTTTTAAGTTGTTGTATGATATTAAAAGTGCAGACAAATTCGTAGAATTTTATGATTGTAGTAACAAAGTAATTATTAAATAACTTCTAAAAATAAAATAATAACTTACAAAATGTAAAAATAAGTACTACTACACTTAGTAAGGTTATGTATCGTGGATCATTAAACATGGGTTCAGTGTGAATTTTTTCTTTAGTAACTTCTGATTCGGACTCCATTATGACCCTACTCTTTACTACCTACTACAACTTTAAATTTAATTAATTTTATATTAATGTAAAAAATAAGAAAGATTTACGTCTGCTTTAAAAGATTTAGTTGCAATGCATAACTTAATTGTATTTTGTATGCATAGTAGGCATGTTCCATGATCATCGATGTTAAAAATTAAAACATCGATGTTGCCACATGTCAAACATCGATGTCAACGAACATATCCACTTCCATAACGCGTACCCGTGAAATCTATATAAACTAAATCTTGCATCTTCTAATAAATGTTTAAAATGTAGAATAGTTCATCACGCATCGATCACCTAAAAAAATATCATTATGGTGTGTCAAACTTCACTGTCAAGTGTGGATTGTAATGTCACAGTTGTCACTGCTTTCGCTTTGTTATTCAGTAGTAACGTTGTCGCTTGTTATCTATAACAACATCATAACAACTATTCTACTTAAATTGATATTCAAAGGAATTGTTTTTCCCTTCCTGTCTATACTCACATAATTTTGAAACAATATGTAAGTATCTATAAAATTCAATTACATTTAGCTGCATTTTTAAGCTTATCATAACGAGTTTACTTTTTGCTTGAACTTGAAGTTTATGAAGATAGATTACTGAACTAAATACTGAAGTAAATTTTTTCATACCAGATTTGTGAATGTGTAGAACATTTAAAAATCAAGATAGTTATATTCATCATGATTGGCAAGAAATATTGGACTATAATATTATAACAAATAAACTAAATATTTGTTAACTTCTTCCCGTTTTTAAGCTATTGCATAGCTTTTATCGCGGGCTTTGAGCGCGGTGACCGAATCAAGAAATTACGTAACGAAATTAACCTAAGACCCCAAAACCTAACATCGCCTAACGTCATTTCAGTTCGGCAAACTTCGGCACGGTGTTTGTGTGCGTGCAACTAGACGTATGCGTGTAGACTAGTTGTATGTATTGTAAGATAATAAAAATATTTTAAACAATAATATGGTTTATTGCAAGAAGCATATTCTTTAGATTTATATGAGTCGTCGTCATGCTAGCAACTTTCGTGAATTTAGAGTATTTAAGAAACACAGACTTTATAGAAAAATCCAACTTCTTTAAGCATAACTGTGTATAAGTGGCTGCCATGAAACTAAAAAGGACTTTGCATAACTTAGATAAGCGGCTGCAGTTATGACGTCACTGAAGTCAAGTGGTCTCCACCATACCAATCTAAATTCGAGACCCTATAATATTAGCTTACAAAAAACAGATGTTTGATGTAATTATTGGTATATTTTTCAGGTATTATTTGCACTGTCGTTTCTTGCTAGTGGTAGTTACCTAAGAATATGCGGCAAAAATATCAACACTTATACGTCGCAGCCTTCAGTGTCCCGCTGTGTTCATGAGGTTGTGGAAGCCCGTCCTGCCCCGGTCGAACCGGCCCATTCGTGCATATTTTCATTAAAGGTTCTGCTTAACATAGGCCCGCGACATACTTTCATGTTTTAGAAAATAGGAATGACAAAGATACTCCCTCTAAAATGGAAGAGGCTCTTAATGTGTTCCTTGATATTATAGTAACTTTAGTAGTTAATAAGAATTTCACACGGGTTGGGAATTAGGACAATTCCCGTCCATCTCCAGCTAGTAAGATTGATCATTAGACGTCCATCCTAGTGTTTTCAAAAATATATTCGATTTCCGCAAAACTTTGAAGAAATGCTTTAATTAAAGGAAAAGTAGGTACCACAAATAAAATAAATACATAATTATAATTGCATAAGTTGATAAAAATGCTATGCAATAGCTTTACTGCGGCAGTCCCCAAGTGCCACACGTATTTTTTTAAATTTCTGACACTAAACCATAAGCCACTTGACAGCTTTTTTATTTCTTACCTATTAAATAAGTACACGTGCAAAAAACATCGATAATGGCCAACATCGATGTTATTCGCAGTCGTAGACATTCTCTGTCTACGTTCGGAGTATAAACATCGAACATCGATACCAACAACGATGTTATCATCGATGTTTCTGCAACATTGATCATCCCTTTTGCATAGATAAGCTAGATTGTATGTAAAAAAATGTCCGATTTGTGTCCGCTTTAAAGCAGTGTTGCAAACATTTAAATCTAGCTCCCGTTGTAGAGAACGCAATAATCCCGTCAAAACCCGTCAAGTAGGGATTTTCAAGTTTTCATTCCCCCCTAAATATTAAGAATGAATTGATTTGATATCGATTCTTGACACACATGGATTATTTTTCAGAATTCAATCTACAAAAGTATATACATACATTCGTTTTATAATACCTATAACCGTCCCGTTAAAAATCCGTTAGCCGTTAAACACATTTCTTTCCCGTTGCCAACCTCGCTGACCCGTCAAATCTAACGGTAACACCTGTCAAGTTGGCAAAACTTCTTTAAAGATGCCCCTATTACACCACCCTGAATCAGGGCCCTGAATGAAGGGTGGGCGTGACCCCTAGTTAGGGACGTCAGTTATTACACTACCCTGATTTTACGCCCTTACTCAATCATAGGGATGAACAAGTGAAAAAAGTATATATATTATTGAATCGATATTTTTTAAAGTAATTAAAAAAATCATTTACTGTGTTTCGTCCTGCTAACTCTAGATGCGTAACTCGAGCTTAGTTCGAATCGTATGAATTTGAACTTGAGTTAACTCGAGTCGTAATTTTTCCAAGTAAGCACATCTATAGGATGCAACATACGGCAAAACATTGTTCATAAAACATAGCTCATGAAGAACCATATTTATGAACGATATATCGATGTTTGAAAGAATTGTATGTTGTGAAATGTATCGTTTTCATCCCTAGTCGCGCATCAAATAAGTGCCCTAATTCCCTTAGTGTTATTACACTGCACGGTGGAAGGGCACTGCAGACCGAGTCCACTTTGACGCCCTAATAAGGTTCCCTTACTTCCTTTCCCTTATTACACCACCCTGAATCAGGGCGTAGGGAGCCTGATTCAGGGTAGTGTAATAGGGGTATTAGTTTAGTTAGTAATTGTATGTACAGAATGATGATATAGTATTGTTACGAGCTTAGGGTTCATGACAATAAAAACTGCCGATTGATTTACCAAAATTAACACTTTAATAACCGAACACCAATTAAAACGTAAAAGAAACTAATAATTAATCACACTGATTCACTTTATTTCACTTTGAAGCTTCGCTTGTATTGCCAAATTCAATACTGCCCCGATCGCGGCTATCAACGGCTTTTTATAAGGCTCTTCCACGAAAACATCCAGAATATTCCAGTAAATAAGGGGCCCCGACCGACCAGGTGCAGAAAGTTCGAGTGTGGGGCTTCTAGAAAGCTTAGTTCTTCAATTCGATACTAGATGGCGCTGTTGGTTGAAAGATTATTCATGGCATTTTCTGAAAAGCTCTCCTCGCTCTGTTACCCGACACTAGGTGGCGCTAGTGCCAGATAAAAGCCGTCAACTTAGGCGCGCAACACTGCCCCCTCCTAAGACATGCTCGTCCCGAGCATTACCGGCCCCATAATAACGCGCCAGGAGATCCACATTGACGATCTTAGGAGTTCCTCTTGCGACTTTCTGAAACGGCTCCACAATGTCAAGGGCTGTCCTAACCCATGGTGCACCAACATTGTACAATTTCGATGCCCCTCTACTATGTGTCTGAGGTCCTTTCACAGCCGCACAACTTGTACATGTGCGATACCAGTCCTCGAAATCGTCAAGATAAACCACCAGTTAATACCCATAAGACCCAGTAAAACTGTTCTCGCTTCTTCAGTAGAGTTCGTTTAACTCCCAGATGGACTCCTGAAAAACCATTATGGTACAGCTGTAGAAAATTCGGCACTTTAGCTTTAGGGACATCCATTTGCAAACGACAGCTGTCTCCTCGACCATTGTCCCATTTACGGCACAGTACTCCATCCTGAATCAGCAAGCTGTCCTATTGGGCCCAATAGGTTTTAGTGGTCGAACTCATCGCTGAGACGTCGCTCCATTTGCGCTTGGTAGCACGGGCCTTCATCCATTCCAGAATCGGCTTGATGTCCGGATCTTCCTGCTGTGCATGTTGTAATCTGTTCTTCCACTCGTTGCTGAGGTGGTCTATCCTGAGCGTCCTCACGGATGCCACTTCCTTACCCTCTTGCCTAGTACTGTTCTCGCAATCATCAGGATAAGGTCTTCTTGACAATGCATCTTGTGGCCTCGCCATTTCCCGCTGCAGTGTCCGATAGTAAAGTCGTATTCCTGCTGCTGCTGGGCGTTACTGGAAGCCGCACTACCCTCTCGAGATCGATCACCTTCCCTTTTTACAGATCGCTTAGGGCAGCTGGATCGAAGATGGCCACTTTCCCCACAGCCGTAGCACCTAGGGCTGTATCCTTTATTGCGGTCGCGAACTGTAGCTGCTGCAACCTCTGTGACACGATGGGAACGATGATCCTGCCGCACGGCTTCCACCTCCAGTGCATGGGCCAAGGCGTTCTTAAGCGTCTCGTGGTGCCCGAGCCTCACAGCAGCTCTGACTTCAAAATCGCGGATGCCGTCTATGAATGTCTGCACCAGGCTCCCTTCAATGAGCGCAGGTACACACTGGCATGCTTTTCGCACCAGCTTCTTCACCTCTAGAGCCCACTGCTGCAGGTTTTCGTTGATGCACTGCACGCGATCATTAAGCTGCGCACGAAAGACGTGTTCCAGGTGAGCGTCGCCATATCTCACCTCCAATGCCTCAAGAAGCTGCTCATAAGTCACTTCCTCACTGAGAGCTTCCAGAACAGTTAAGGCCTGGTCGCGCAGGCCTAGTGTGAGAGCAGTCATGGCCTGACTTTTATTCCAGCCGTTCGCCTTCATAACAGCCTCGAACTGGATTTTGTAGGCTGACCAGGAAGAAGTCCCGTCGAACGGTGGCACCTTGAA